AGAACACGTATTTACAATCACAAGCAAAGACGGACAGATACCCAGAGAAGATTTGGGATCTAAGAACATGTATTTACAATCACAAGCAAAGACGGACAGATACCCAGAGAAGATTTGAGAGACATGAGAGCAAACTACTGCCATCAGTCTTTCCTGAGCTCCGTCTCCTCTTTAGTATCACATTTCCCGTCCTCGCTGGATGGACTAGGAGATTCTTCCTTTTCCGATTTTTCTGCACCTAAAGTAAAATGTGAAGACCAGACCTTTATTTGTTAATATGAGGAAACAATAAACAAAAGTTAACAAACTGGAAAAAAAAACAACCATACCAACCTAAGAATGAATGCGATTTGATATTATTTCAGTACATCCTCTGGGTGGCGAGCTACTTTATGATAAAGTGGTCATGATAAAGGCTGTCTGGGATCAAACATGCAGTGCAAAAGCATAAACAGAGAACCCGTACATTGAAAGGCGAGTTCAACAGGGGGTGACTAGGGAATATGGAAGTTATTCAACACTGAGTGGGAAACTAAGATTGCATCTGGTACTGTTAGTGTGTCGACTTTTTGTTTGCTACTCAAGAAAGGGATGGAGCATGAGTGGAAATGTCCCAAGTACAGTGATGCCTATTCTGGATCCATTCATTTCAGTACATTAACTAACTGTGTTTACCAACAGTTAGAAATGATGTCACTGAGTCTTGAACTTTACAAACAGTCAGGATCCTTCAGCAAATATCAGTGTATGCCGGGCATTTTCTCTAGAACTAGTGCTGATACTCACCACAAAGTGTTGTTTACAGTAGCGCTAAAAAATCTGTCTCAAAAAGGGCCAGTAGTGTATACCACTGCACCCCATTAGAAAATGTAATGAATGTACGTAAGCCACCTGCCTTCTGTATACGCCAGCAGCAAGAAAACCCACAGCCTCCCTAACAAGCATGTCATACAAGATGTCTAATTAGGGATGTTTCCTTCAAAGTCAAGAGTGTATCTGCCCAAGAAGTCAGGAACCAACAGTCTGCATGTAAATATCCTCTTCCCGATTTTCCCCATCATCATCATCATCATCAGGTGCCTTGCCTACTGGCTTGGGCTATCATGCCTCTCCATAATCTGCGATTTTCTGCAGCATGTATCAGTTCGTGTGCCGATACACCTCCATGCCATGCAACAAGACTGTCAAGCATCTTCTCTCGTTGTCTTCCTCTATCCCTCCTTCCACAGATCTTTCCAGTGGTCACAACATGTTCTATTTTTCCTCTTCTCATAACATGGCCGAAAAATGATGACTGATTTTCCCCATCCATGCAATATGGTCCATGGCAGCACAAATCTTTACCACCAACACAATCTCACCATGACAAACTAGAAAGCAAGCAGAACACTTACTTGGGCTCTTGTTAACATTACTGTCTGCAGAAGGATCTACAGGGAAGTAGACAGGCATCAGGCTATGATAGGCATCCACGTCCACCTTCAGAAACAGGCAGAATATGATTCTTTCCACCTGACAGATGTGAATAAGAACAATCAGCAATTAACAGACAATAATAATTATTGAAAGGGTGGGGATGTGGTAGTGTAGTGGTTGGATGCTCCACTCACCAGTGCCAAAGCCATGAGTTTGAATCCACATCAAGTCATATTTATTTCATAAATGACCTTGGCTCATAGGTCAACCAAGCCTGAAATGGATATCAGGCAAAGTCCTGGGAAGTAAAGTCAGCCTGTGTGATGTTGATCACACTACTCAATAAGCACCAACTGCTCTATAAAAACATGAGCATAGCATTATAACCCGATGCTGCACTGGCAAAAAATGGTTGTTTCCTTTTTTTTTTAAATTTGAACTTGTTGAGGCTGCATTTCAAATGAGAAATAAAATATTGTTTTCTTCCTCTTTTTATGCGCTTGCCTTTAAAAAAGCAGCTGGCAAGATGTGGTTTACAGCTAGGCTGTGATGTCTGATATCAGCACACTGCTAACTAGTCACCTTGTATGAAATGTTTATGAGGCAGCAGTGGGTCTATTCTTGTGTTCCTACAAAAATGGGGCCTCCATCCCACAGAGGGGAGAAAATATTGTTTGATATTTTGCTGTGCAATTTAATTTTAAAAATTCTACCTGCTATAGCAGAAAAGAATGCAGAGGCTAAACAGCATGAAGAACTTCTGACACAGCACCCGCAAGCAAGTTAAAGTAGACATTTTGAGAGAATCCATCTTTGCCAATGGCAACTTATGGATGTGACTCAGTTTTTCAAGAAGAAAATCACAGCTTTTGAAATGAACTACAACAGAAAGATTCATAGAATACCATGGACCAAGAAGAAGAAGAAAAATGACGACATGACTTGAACATCAAGGAGAACTGGCTAGTAAACAGCATTCTCTCCCAAAAGCTGAGATATACTGGACATGTCAAATATAAGTTTAGCCATCTATGCTGATGCATCACTGGTGTGTAAAGGGACCTTACTCTACTTTGCTGCTGTAGAAGGGTCACCATACAGGTATTTTATTTCTTTTTTCCATCCGGTGAAGTTTAACTACCACTACGTCTTCAGTTCTGGCTGTCTAGACAACTTGCTCAAACATTCCACACTGATAACCTATTTCCCATGTGGGTTAGTTCCAGAACTCCATTTTGGAGAAAAAGGAACGAGTGAGTGGTTGGCCAAATGGTTAAGAATGCTGGGCTGTCATGTGAAAGACCCTAGTTTAAAACAACCTGGGTAAATTTGTGGAATTCCCCCCCCCCCTCCCACCCCCCCTCCCCCCCCCCCCCCCCCCCCCCCCCCCCCCACCCCCCCCCCCCCCCCCCCCCCCCCCCCCCCCCCCCCCCCCCCCCCCCCCCCCCCCCCCCTCCCCCCCCCCCCCCCCCCCCCCTCCCCCCCCCCCCCCCACCCCCCCCCCCCCCCCCCCCCCCCCCCACCCCCCCCCCCCCCCCCCCCCCCCCCCCCCCCCCCCCCCCCCCCCCCCCCCACCCCCCCCCCCCCCCCCCCCCCCCCCACTGACAAGCATGTTGTAGAAGGAGACTAATTAGGGGTGTTTTTTTTTAAAGTTGGAGTGCATCTGCCTGAGAGGCAGGGAACCAACAGTCTGCACACAAATAAGCAGATCTGTAAAATAGCTGTACATGCAGAACAAGTCCAAAAGTGGACGAACAACTAGAACTTTCTGCCAAGTTTATAGCCGGTTAACACTAAGGAAGAAAAAAGATTCTAATCTAATTTATTGATTAATAGGTGATTTTCATCTCTGTGGCCACATCATGTTTCTCTGCTCATTTACGCATTGTAATTTGCACACAAATATTGACAGCCTATACTAATTGAAGCAAATGTCTGTACAACTGCTGGTATCAACAGTTACGAGACCCTATACTAATTGAAGCAAATGTCTGTACAACTGCTGGTATCAACAGTTACGAGACCCCATACTAATTGAAGCAAATGTCTGTACAACTGCCGGTATCAACAGTTACGAGACCCCATACTAATTGAAGCAAATGTCTGTACAACTGCCGGTATCAACAGTTACGAGACCCCATACTAATTGAAGCAAATATCTGTACAACTGCCGGTATCAACAGTTACAAGACCCCATACTAATTGAAGCAAATGTCTGTACAACTGCTGGTATCAACAGTTATGAGACAAAGAAGACGGCCAGATACTGGGCACATGAGGAGAAAAGTCAACAGAGAATCACCAGACAGGCATTGAAATGTGAAACAATTGGACTGAGATAGTGGGCTTCTTCTTCTTTGTTTTCTTCTTCACATTCACTGGCTGTAAATTCAATGGAAAGTTATGTTGTTCATCCACCTCCGGACTCTAGTCTTGTTCCAGAACCTGAGTGTTGTTTTACGGATCTGGCTTCTTTGTATGCAGACTGCTAGTTCCTTGCCTGTCAGGCAGATCCAAATTCGAAAGATGCCTTCAATGAGTCAACTCTTACGACATGCTTGTATGGGGAGGCAGTGGGTATATTCCTGTTTTCCCCACAATAGGGCCCCAGAACCCACATGGGGACAGATAGTGTGGCTGACATCCTTTTGTTTTTAATTCAGTGAAAAGACACCTACTGCACGGCAATTCTGGTTCTGCTAGGCAACTTCTATCAAATGCGTTAAATACAATCAAATGTTTTAAATGATTTGCAAATGTTTTTACAAAATGCACATATACAAATTAACAAACGGAACATACATGTTTGGCATACTCGTCTTTTTCCAGCCACTGTCGGACAGCACTTAAGGCAACCTTAGCAGCGTTGACATTAGGGTAGCCTAAGCAGTAGAAACAGAATATTCAATACAGCAGCTGTTTTAGAAAACTTGTAATAAGGATTTATCTCTTTTAGTTGTGCTCCAAGTTTCAGAGCCATATAAAATGACTGGTCTTATCAACGTTTTATATATTTTGATCTTGGTGTTGCGAGACAGACACTTCGACTTTAGCAGATGTTGAAGGGCATAATATAATTTATTTACAGATTTCCAGATTGTATTCTAGATTGTATTTCTTCTGTCAACATGTTGGAACAGGTGAAGTTTGCATCCAAGTACTTATATGTTTCCGTTTGTTTGATAGTATATGAATATATGAACAAAATATTCAATATAGTATCTGTATATTCAAACAAAATATTCAGTATAGTATCTGTATATTCAATATAGTATCTGTATATACAAACAAAATATTTAATATAACCTCAGGTGGTTGGGTCAAACTTGGAGAATAGAGGAGGTAGAGTCACTAAGGACATCTATTGTGAATTACAATGGACAGCCTCTACGATGATATAAAGATGCATGTTAGTGAGACAGGAATGATAAGGTACTGAGGTGGATTCGTAGAAACAAAGTGCCATGGACCGTATGGTGTGGACAGGTAAATGAAACAGTTTGTGTCAGAGAACTATCACTAAAGCAGACTATCCATATTATATTAAAAATTGACAATGTTTAGTAACGACCAGCAAAACTCACCGAATATCCCGGTAGAAATGCAAGGAAACGCCTGGGGAGAAAAACAAACAGAAATAAAACTTGCAACTAAATTAAATGAGGTGTACTGCTCTTCATGACACACTTATGCAAGGTAATTACTGCTAAAAAAAACATCCTACTGGAGTAGTTTTCATACTTTTAAATATTTTCAGTGCAGTGAACAATAATGGCCTTTTCTTTATAATTTCCAAGTACCCACAATGTTTAATGTGTCCAAAGTGCATATTGGAACTTCCATTATTTGTCCTTATCTCAAAGGGTTAGGTGTACTATCCACTACCATGGGATCAGAGGGAGTCATATCCTCAGGTTTTCAGCTTCTGTGTGATTCAAACAGGATCTGCCCAGGTTTGAGGGATGCCACCATACCTCTTTGCCACTGGGCTTTCCTGATGGTTCAAATTTTGAAATGACACATTTCAATTTCATGCTCTTCCTGTTTCCTTCTCTGCATTCAAGTTGTTTTTTTTTTATTGGTCTTGATCTGTACCCTTATTTTCAGAGAAAAAGACTGGCAAGCATACGAGGAAAAGAGAGGAAAGAGACCCAGACAGGGACAAAAAGGTCAGAGAGACCTGGACAAGAAGCATAAACATTTATGATCAACAGATAAGAGAGACAGACAGAGAAAGAGAGAGAGAGAGAGAGAGAGAGAGAGAGAGAGAGAGAGAGAGAGAGAGAGAGAGAGAGAGAGAGAGAGAGAGAGTATGATGGGGCAGAGACAGAAGAGAGGGGTCATCAGAATCAAAGAGAGACAACCTACAACTGATGTTAACTTGTGCTCCCTGACTAGGTCCAAAGAATGTGTGTAACACTGGTTCAGCACTTGTGGCTTCTCTCCCCTGGGGCCCACTGTGTGAATGATATCTGAAATATAAAGCAATCACAGGTCAACATGGAAATTAGAAAAGTTGTCTGTGTTAGTGTGATCTATGTTAGTGTTAACACTTGCTGTTCTACTTCTGTCTTCACCTGTAACCATCTGAACACTTGTTAAAACTATTTTAACATCTTTTACCCATTATGCAACAAGAGAAAGAGAGTCAGTACAAAAATTAGGAAAGTTTATTTGAGTCAAGAATTGACATCATAGCACTCGGGCATTCCCTTGCGTGCTCCGTCCTCATTTTCAGCAGCCAGCGCAGAGTTACAATACAGATGGTACCAGTCACAATCTGGTTATATGTCCGTCTTGCCTTTCCTCTAAGTGTAGTGAGCTGGTCAGACCCTCTGGTTACACCCAGGTTCCTCATTCTCTCCAGGCCATAATAATCCTGTTTCTCTACTGATTTCATTGCTTGTTCCCAAAGGGCCTTGACCACATCTGCCTTGTAATGTATCAATTCACCACCCAGTGGTGCAGATCCAGCCAATCTGTCTGCCTGTTCATTACCCACAACGACGGCATGGCCTGGAGAAAAGATCCAAAGTATGCTCACTATCCGTGACCTTCCCAGTGAAGCTTGCCACTTTGGTCAAAGCATCCCTGTATTCATCTTTATCAGCATGCCTTCAGAGTCTGTTACAATTATGACATGTGTATGCATCTTGTTCTCTAGCCACCGGAGAGCTGCAGTTACCGCCTCCACCTCCATTCTCATGCTAGATGTTGTGAGGTCGAATGCTAGGCTGTCTTGCACTAAAGATTTTCCACTGGCTTTTGCTGCGAACCCCGAGGCACTTCTCTTTCATCTCAACACCAAACATATTAGGAAAGTGGTCTATATTAGTGTTAACATTTCTTCTTTTTTCTTCACTTTAACTATTTTACCACCTTTTAAAACCATTTAATGTCTTTTACCCATTACCAAACCAGTGACAAGAGAATGAGAGTCAATATGGAAATCAGGAAAGTGGTCTATGTTAGTGCTAACACTTCTAACTTCATGTTTAACAATTGTAAAGCCTTTTCAAAACAATTGTAGCACTTTGTTTTTTCAACCCATTAGCAACAGTCACAAAAGAGTCAACATGGAAATGAGGAACGTGGTCAGTAGTAGTGTTGAGATTGGCTCTTCTTCTTTCTCATCATCTTCTACGTTTGGCCTTTAAAGGGCAAGTTGGCATATTGTGGTTTACTCTTCTTCTTAGCCTTTACCTGGTGGAAAGTTTTGGTTGTTTGTTCATCCACTTCTGGAATCTGGTCTTGTTCCACATCTTGATTTTGTATGCACGTCTGTTTTAAAGACTTGGCTTATTTGCATCCAGACAGTTGGTTTCTAACCTCTCAGGCAGATGTACCTAGCCTTCAAAAGAAATACCCCTAATTAGTTGTTAAGATGTGCTTGATTGTGCTGGTGGGGATAAGGGTGTCATGGGTCTACTCCCCCCCCCCCCCATATGGGGCCTCAAAACCCATAAACCATGTTGGGCACAGTAAAAAAAAAAACATTCAAAATAAAATCTACAGCTTACAGTGTTGCACCAAGCACTCAGATCAGTAGCTCGGCCACAGAACTATATGCTTTCAGTCCATATGAAAGAATATGCAACAGCTAACAATTGTCAGAAAACAAAAACTTGCCACGACTAAAAAACAGTAAGCTTGCCTATTCGTAATAGTGACTGGAGGTCTCTCTCAGCTATCATTACTGTCTCATGTGATGTCAAATCACTTGAAAGCAGCTTGTTATTTTTATTTTTAAATTCAGGGATCTAGAACTTTCGTACTTCTAAACAAATTTGATACAGACGACTACATAAAGTAAATGACCTTCGACACACCGGTGGAGCATCAGGGTTGTTTTTTTAAATTGTAGACTTGTATCTTTATAGACCAATCAGCATTTAATGAGTAATGTGGTGAACATCATGCCAGATTGGCAGATAATATATAAAGAATATGGCACAGAAAATATAAATTATATGAGAGACAAGTGATCACTTACATTTCGCTGGTAGATTATAGCCACATGTGATTTTGGCCTCGCCAGGTTGGCAACCATGTAGAGTTGCACATTCAGATCGGAGGTGCGGGCCGGCTGCATGGTGGATAGCCCCATCAACTGAGAGAAAGGAAAGGAATGTACACACTGCTGATGATCATCTGCAGGTTACTCAATAAACTAAAAGTTCTCCTTAACCCTACCAGACCGCTGGCCCAGTTTACCGGGAATTTCTCAACCTGTCTATATACCGCTAGCCCTAATTTTCAGCTTTTTGCGTAGTAAGGTAAAACAATGCGTCACGGACTAAAAATAACCACCCAATCATTATCAATCCTCTTTGTTAGACATTGCAAATGTCTGCCCGCATGTGTGGATTATTTTTGTGTTGTTTTACATGGAAAAAATTCTGAAAATTCACAATGAAACGAGCGGCTGATGAACCAAGTTCTAGGCTTTTCACAGTCCAACAGGTGATCGATACTTTGGTTTATTCAGGCTCTGTGATATATATATATATATATATATATATATATATATATATATATATATAGATATATATATATATATATATATATATATATATATATATATATATTCATTATCTGTGATAATTTCATAAAGAATACGTTTTTGAAAGTGACACTGTCAGTGAGAGCGCGAATGATGAGGAAAATCTTGAAAATTATAAATTAAAATAAATCGATAGTAGGAGAAGGGGGTGTGTCCATAAAACGGCAACATCTGGTGTTCACTTTGTGAAACAAAGTTGATCCTGATGAGTGAATTTGCACAAAGGTGGAATATTGGCACTAGATAAAAGGTAAGCCTATTTTCTACAATGTCTCCAAGTTTCATCGTATTCTAGCCACTCTGCATGTAACTAATATTTTTGTACATCAAGTTGGTTTTTTTCGCTTTGCCCAGGAGCTCACAGTTAGGTTCAAGGTAGGTCTGGTAGGGTTAACCTCTTTGAGTCCAAGGAACCACATAGTTCATGGCTTTCCTATCTAGAAAATGAACTCACGAGCCCGATTTTATGACTTTATTTACTACGCCCTGGGCTCCTGTGATGTAAACCCCCTGGGACTCAGTTGAGCTTAAGTCATCGTCAGGCTTCTAGACTCCACTGTCTACATTGTGAGTCAATAACTAGAAATGGCTGTCTGTTTGAATTCTTATATCTGACAAGGTTCCATATGGTTTTCAAAAAAAAAAAAAAAAGATTCGCTGTTAATACCAACCATGCAGGAGACTGGGTATCAATCCTTGGTAAAGTAACAGAAATTATTGTTTTCTGTCGGTGGCAAAAAAAAAAATCATAACACACACAGCCTGCTCTAGCCATGGGGATCTATATCCTTAAGCTTAAGATCCCCCCTACCCCCATCTTTTTCTTTTTCTTAAAGTCCATGGCGTGTGGTATTGGTAGTCATGTCTATCGACAACCTTCTCTTGTGTCCATACATCAAGATATAATTTATATAGCTTTCAAACTGTCTAAATTGACACACACAAAAACCGCATTAAATATTCTTCATTTTGTAAAATGTTGCCTTAGCTGGAGCTATTCTACATTTAACTTCTTTATTACAACTTCCATCTGATGGTATCAGGGTACCCAAGTAATTAAACATATCAAGTTGTTTGAAGTTTGCCCTATTTACATTGGAAGTTCAAAACTTTGCTTTGCAAAATACTCACAGAAGGTTGCCAATTCTTCTTAAAAAGTCGTAAATATAAATAGCAGTGACAATTTTTCTATAAGTAACAAATGTGTAGATGTACTTACCCCCACCACCGCCCAGCAGGGACTCATTTGCTGCATTAACTATGGCATCAATCTCCAGAGTGGTGATATCTCCCTGGAACAATGAGATTTTCTGGTTGAGATCCTCTCTGACTTCCTTCTCTGTGAAACAGTTAAACCAAAACCACCATCAACACAGGCACTGTGACATGTCACGGACACATTCAACAATGTAACTAAAATGTCTTTACGCTGAAACCCATGGGGGCACTGAAATAATGGTAGACACAAAAAAACATGAGAAGGGAGCTAGACAGTGAAGTTGAGATAGGGAGGACAGAGGGTGAGCTGCATAGGACAGTAAAGGATAGGACAACGTGGCAAGAGTTGGCGGAGGCTTATATCAACTATGTATAGAAAACTAAGAAGTGAATGTTCTGTAAAAGCAAGGTATCTGCTGAAACAAACATGTGTGTTATCAGCAATATATATATATATATATATATATATATATATATATATATATATATATATATATATATATATATATATATATATATATATATATATGTATGTATGTATGTATGTATGTATATATATATATATATATATATATATATATATATATATATATATATATATATATATATATATATATATATATATATATATATATATATATATATATATATATATATATATATATATATAAGGGTTACGTCCCTTGGGAGTATCGTCTACACACAAATAAAATGTATGTCCCTTGGATTTCAGGATTTGCCGGGATCAAAGGCTCAAGGACCTGAAAAGCCGTGCAATGGAAGGAAGGAACCATGTGGAGTTCATGAAGGAATGTTTATGCTAGACATCAGAGAACTCACATGGAGATGGTGAACTGAAAAGGGGCATCCAGTCAATTAGAAGTGAACAGAATCTGGTCAGAGATGACTACCACCTACTTCGACTGGCATGGGTAGGTCATTATTCTTTGCCTCAGGACAGGGCATAACAAACTTAACCAGCATATGCAGGCTTTGTCTAAGCAGTTCACCACTGTGCTCGTGTGGGTTGTGTGTGCAGGCTACAGAACATGTCCTGCAAGAGTGTCCCTTGTACAGCCCATCAGGAAGGGAATACGAGTCAACACTGCACTCAAAGTTGTATGGAACAAAGAGGGAACTTCTAAAATAGTTTAGACTAGAACTTGTCTGTCAGTTAAAATCAGAAAGCGAACACAAGAAGAAGAAATTAAATTAACACTGAAACAATATTTTTAATATTTCAAACAATATATACATCAGAAAGACACGTTCTAAAAATGTCTAAAACAAAATATTTAATTGTTCATCAATCTTCTTCTCTTCTCGTTCTTCATTCCCTCTGTTTTTGCTTCAGGTGTCAAGGAAGATCTGATTCTGCTGCTTGCTGTTATGGCCACCTCGACCACTGACACACAGTGCTGTTGTAAGTTTCTATGATGTTATTTTTCCATCTTGTTCTGGGTCTATTTCATGCTCCATGACCCCTTCCCTTTGTTGGTGTATGCCCTATATGATATGGTGTCACAAGGCATTCTCTCTAGGTGGGCAAACACTTTTTTGATGTCTTTATATGTTCATAATAAAAGTAAAAACATATATGATTTTTAAAAATAAAAATAATAAATGTTTCAAAACACTAATAATGCATTACCTTTTCCTAACTTAGACTTGTCTGTTTTTTGTTGCAGATCCTCACGGAAATAATCAGGCCATGTTTTAATTTTCTCAAGTGTGATGTAAGTTCCTTTGTAGAGTTTTCTCTTTGACTTCAAGTCCATTGACAAGTACTTGTCTGTTCGTAAATACAATAGTTGCCAGATAATAAATCACATTCATATATAAAAAATTATTTTTTTCAAACAAGCACAATTTATGAAGCATATCAAAAGATGAGGCACAACAGAGAAGTGAAGCAGCCTTATTTAAGAAAGAAAAAACAACTAGGCAAGAGATACAAAGTAAGAAAAAGAAAGACTTAATGCCTGTCTCCATAATAAAGATTTGCTGCAATGAACTGTCAACACTCTATACCACTTGATGAAGCTGAACACTCTCTGAGGCTGCTATTTAAGACATCTCTGGATGTTAACTGCTTTTTTTGGTAAGTGTCGAGATGACCCAAAATGTCTGACATCATCTACAGTCTATGTATATTATAAGTTATATAATAAGTTAGATTACGTGACTGGGTGAGTAGACAGGAGTACATGACTGGCTGAGTAGACAGGAATACATGACTGGCTGAGTGGACAGAAGTACATGACTGGCTGAGTAGACAGGAGTATATAATTGGGATAGTAGACAGGAGTACATGACTGGTTGAGTAGACAGGAGTACATGACTGGTTGAGTAGACAGTACATGACTGGCTGAGTAGACAGGAGTTCATGACTGGCTGAGTAGACAGGGGTACATGACTGGCTGAGTAGACAGGAGTTCATGACTGGCTGAGTAGACAAGAGTTTATGACTGGCTGAGTAGACAGGAGTACATGACTGGCTGAGTAGACAAGAGTACATGACTGGCTGAGTAGACAGGAATACATGACTGGCTGAGTAGACAATAGTACATCACTGGCTGAGTAGACAGGAGTACATGACTGGCTGAGTAGACAGGAGTACATGACTGGGTGAGTAGACAGGAGTACATGAATGGCTGAGTAGACAGGAGGAGTACATGACTGGGTGAGTAGATAGGAGTACAGGACTGACTGAGTAGACAGGAGTACATGACTGGCTGAGTGGACAGGAGTACATGACTGGCTGAGTGGACAGGAGTACATGACTGGGTGAGTAGACAGGAGTACATGACTGGCTGAGTAGACAGGAGGAGTACATGACTGGCTGAGTAGACAAGAGTACATGACTGGCTGAGTAGACAGGAGTACATGACTGGCTGAGTGGACAGGAATACGTGACTGGCTGAGTGGACAGGAATACGTGACTGGCTGAGTGGACAGGAGTACATGACTGGCTGAGTAGACAGGAGTACATGACTGGCTGAGTAGACAGGAGTACATGACTGGCTGAGTGGACAGGAATACGTGACTGGCTGAGTGGACAGAACACTGGGCTCTCACAGGGGATGCCTGGGTCAAACCCTCAGCAGGGCTATGGAAGTACTTTCTGTTGGTGGCAAAAATAAACATCCTTATCTGCAGTTCGAGGTGACTGCTCCAGCCATGCAGCACTAAATCCTCAGGCCCATTCCAAACCGCCTTCAAAATAGATAAATATGGCAGTTTTTAGCACTGTCATGTATTCTGTATATACAGTGGTACTTAAGCTCGAACAACATGGAATCAGAACAGAATTTCAAGTAAATTTATTCAAGGAATTTGAATGCTGCCGTGAAACTGAACACCTGGCATTTGCCAGTCACATAATTGAGCTTCAGCACCTTCACCAATAGCAGATGGAAGAAATACTCTAGTTGAAAGTTCTGGCTGTTCATCCCCCTCTGAACTTTAGTCTTATTCCACTACTTCAGCTCTGTGTGCACATCCATTTTACAGATCTGGCTTATTTGTATGCAGACTATTGCTTTCTAAGGCAGATGCACTCTGACCTGGAAGAATACACCGAATTAGTCAACTCTTACGACATGCTTTTTAGAGAGGCAGTGGGACTTGTTCTCACTGGTGTTCTCATCTTCAATAACTCAAAAAGTCTCAAGTGTAAAAACACTGCTGATCAAGTGTTGCATGTATATGCACATAAAAAAAAATATAATATTAATTATATCGAAATAACTGCCGATAGCAGACTCTAAATCAGAATAATCTGACTCCAGTATGCAGACAAAAAGAGTAATAAGACTCACACAAGAAAACCATTTGTCAAGTTTTCAGAAATGTTACCTCTAATTTCCTCAACCTCTTCCCTCTTTCGAATGTTTTGTCTAGTAACACGGCCACCTTTGGGAGACGACGGCGATGTGTCCCGGACTTCGCTGCTGGTCTCAGTCTCACCAGCTGTTTTAGTTTTATCTTCTACATGACTGCTGCTGCTGTCCTTACTGCTGCTGCTTTCAGCATTCTTGTCTTTACTTTTAGCTTTAGTTTTAGACTTGGGCGGCGATTTTCCAACAGTCGAAGGTGACACCTCCTTGCTACCCGCTTTTTTATTACCCGTCCCGGCCGACATATTCCTTTGGACAATACTGCGGGTTAGATGAGACAAGGTGTGTGTTGATGAGAGAGAAGTTCTGAGGTAGACTGTATGTATGCTGACCACTGTCCACGGAAACCAACAGCGCATATTGCACCGACCGACACGGCAGCCTCAGGTTGATTGACCTCCCCTTGTCGTCTGCAGTGTTGCCACTTTTCTTTGACAAAAAACATCCAGAACAGAGTCAAAAAATATCTACAAACATCTAAATTTGAGTGGAAAACATCTATAAAAAACATCCAAATGGAAAGAGTCACAAATTACATAGCTATTGATATGACATAATTTAGAATCAGGTCATCTTCACTTATGTCTGCTTCACAAGAACCACAGTATAATTTATACTATAAACGTAGCTTGGATGATGAAGAGGAAGTTTCAGATTCAAAATGATTTTGGTGTGCTTTAGCTGTTCCAGTTTCTTTAAATACACAATCAGGTCTTTAAAAACTTTAAAACATTGCGACCGATTCTTCAACTTTTGATGATTCATTTATCAGTGTAGTTCGGAAAACAGCTGTCAGCTGTGTAATATCTTTGAATGGAACTGTAGTTGTATGCTTTTTAGTCTCTGCATGACTCTTTAAGTCTTGTATTTTTGCTTTAATTTCACACTTGCAGTACTTTAAACGAGCCTTGGTCATATCTCCAGGAACTGCCATCATCCAGTCTTTTAATTTTTACTCATACTTTACTTTTGGCATGTTGGAAGGTTTTTTCAAAGTGAAAACCACATATAAAGGTGAGCAATTATTTTTTTCAAATAATATGAAAATGAAACACTAAGTCAACACAGTGAGCGTTGACCCTAGTGAAAGTTCAAAGTTTAAGTAATCGCAATTGTCACAATGTACGTGCCAGACCAAAACAAAAATATTGTAGTAAATATTTTACACAGTAATTATTAACTGAAAGAAAAGAAATTTATAAAATATCTAACTTCAAATAAAAATCATTTACAAAAACATCTACCATCTAAACGTCAAAAATACCATCTAAATGCAATGGAGAACATCTAAATCTGGATGTAAAACATCCAAAGTGGCAACACTGGTCGTCTGCTTCCGGCCAGAGCATGAATCTGTGGCTGCACATAAACAGCCCCAAAGAGCTGCACATAAAGAAGGGTGAAGAATGCCCGTGTTATCTTTGAAGAAGTTTTAAACAACACCAGAGATCAGCATGGCAAGGTCAAGCAGTTTATTACTAGGACTAAAATTCATGTATATAGAAGGGTAAAAAATGCCCGTGCTATCTTTGAAAAAGTTTCCCAATCGACGATATAATCAATGCTAGTGAGGTTGTCTAATTATTCATAGTACAGTTTCTATCACAATCACAACACAAATCAAATCAAAATGTGGAACAATACAAATTACATATTAACCATACCTATAATTACATGATACATAAAAAAAAATAACAAATATATACTTTGAGAACTCAATTAACACTATACATCTCAATTATAACCCTGAGGGTTAAATGGGGTAGGGGGGGGGGTTAAATTACTGCTACTACATGGCTGGGAAGATATCATTGCGTTTTGTTATTATTCATATAAACCCCGCCCAGTCCGAACTTCAGGCTACTATATAATTGTCGGGTGCTCCAGTCTGGCTTTTACGTTGGTGAATGGGGTTTTAGTGAATGATGTTTTATAGGATCTGTATCCGTTTTATTCTCACCTTTGAGGTGTTAATTCTGTAGACTGCAATCCTGGAGAGGACACACTGCCTACCATGTTCATAACTACTGTTAGGAAGTAAATGGAAGTCACACACAAAAATGTTCGAAATTGAACTCTTCTCTTGCTGTCGAAAGTGAGGACAGTGCGTTTATGGGAATGTCCTGATTGCTATGATCTCAATAGACCTTAGATCACCGCTCAATAAAAGAAACTAATTTTAAAATCTTGACTAAGGGCAGTATAATTTATCTAGTAACTGCTTCTTCTTCTTGAGCATTTCAAGTCCTTGAGATTCCTTGCTACAGACGCCACTCACCTTCATTCATCTGTTTGGTTGGTCTTTTCTTTCCAGTTGGGATATTATCTCTCCATGGTCTTCTCGGTCTGCCTCGTGGTCAACGACCATTCAGCTCACTTGTGTACAGTTTCTCTCTCTCTCTCTCTCTCTCTCTCTCTCTCTCTCTCTCTCTCTCTCTCTCTCTCTCGTCTGATATTATCTCAGTAGGCTTCACTATTTAAGTCCATTGGCTCTCGTGATGTCAGTGAACAATCTTACTCTTAAGTAAAATTGTTACACTTAGTGATTAATTGTCTGTTTTCCAAGCACTGTCAAGCAAAAAACAAAACAAACTAATTGCAGATCTAAGGACCAACACTGCCTTACTTTCCAAGGAAGCAGAACTGGTCTTACAGTGGATACCAGCCCACTGTGGTATTCAAGAAAAGATATAAACCCGAACGAAAAGTATATTAGCAAGCTTCACAATATAACAAATACAAACAAAACGTGAACGTTGGGGCTATTGAGCCTACATCAGCACACACAAAATAAGTAATACTACATAGATACAAAAAATCACTTAGCTGGTATCACGATGCGGCCAGGTCGGTTGTTACTCAGCAGAATGACCGCACGTGTCAGCTGGGGGAATAATTACCCCCCAGTGGAGTATCAGGGGGCCATATCTGGGGTGTAGGGGTTGAAACTGTGAGGGTAATTCAATCCCCTGGGAGTTTAAATGTGTTGGGAATTCATTCCGGACGGCGTCAAAGTCCCCAGAGTATAAATAAAGCGATTCTCAAGAGACTTGCGGACTCTGTCGCTGGAATGGCTGGATTTAATGGCTGTCACCTCCATGTCGTGGACACCTTAGTGATCCTGGCAATTGAAGTGCAACGGTACTGGTTTCAGGGCACCATTTTGCACGTCCAAAAGATTTTGTCTGAACCTGTCAGCCAGCCGTAGACCTGTTTCACCAATGTATTTCATGCCACATCTCTTGCAGTTGATGGCATAAATGACATTGCGGTTGGTACAATAAAATGCTTCACGTATGTGAAAGGTGGCGTTGGGGAATTCTAGACTGGCCGCCTGTACCACATATGGACAGGTTCTGCATGCAGGTCTATGGCAAGAGACCGTGCCGAAGTGGGGCTCAGACGCGGGGCGTAACCTACTCTTGACTAGAATGTCCTATAGGTTACGATCATGCCTGTAGGCCACTAGTGGAGGTTCAGAGAAAATCCTGCTGGTGGCAGGGTCGGCTTTAAGGATGGATAGATGCCTGAGGAAAATATTCTTGTCGCGGATGTTATGAGGGTGGTAGCTAAGTGTGAGAATAGGTCTGTTGTTGTGACGTTTCAGCTTGGAAGCGAGAGCTTCGGTACGATGGAAAGACCGTGCGCGGTGAAAGGCGGCAGATAAGACATGTTCAGGATACCCTCGAAGCCGAAAGAAGTCCAGCATTTCCAGGGCCTTGTTGTGAAAGGCGTCGTTCTCCTGGCATAGTCTGCGGAGGCGTAGAAGTTGGGAGAACGGAATAGAGTCCTTGCAAGAAGAGGGGTGGGAGGACGTGTAGAGAAGAAAAGCGTGGGAATCAGTAGGCTTGTAGTAAACTGAGGTGCTAAGGCCTATAGAATTCACGGTGACAGTGAGATCCAGAAAATGCACCGACGAAGGTGAGATTCTAGAAGTGCATCGGATGCTGGGATGAAAGTTACAGAAAAAAATGAATAAAGTTCTGCAGTTCCTGTAGGGGCATATCGGCTACACCAATGCAATCATCGATATACCTCCTGTAGAGCTCGGGGAGCCTACCGGTGTATGCATGACGTATCTGGTGCTCGGGGAGCCTACCGGTATATGCATGACGTATCTGGTGCTCGAGGTGCCCCATGAAGAGGCAGGCATAGCTGGGTCCCATCTTGGTTCCCATGGCGACACCACTAATCTGGTTGAAATACTGGCCATTAAACTCTAATGAGTTTAGAGTAAGCACTAGCTCAGCCAGACGAATCAAGGGGTCAGTGGCTATGGCAGGACTGACTCTCTGATCTAGAAAGAACCGCAAAGCCTGGAGGCCATCCGAATGTGGAATAAAGGTGTAGAGGGAGGTAACATCTAAGGTGAAGATGTGGTACCTGGAAGAAGAGGTGAACCGGATAGACTGAAAGATAGAGATGGCATGGTTGGTGTCTTTGATGTAAGACGGGAGATCAACGTGCAGGGGCTGCAGAATACGGTCGAGGAATCCGGATATGAGCTCTGTGGGACAAGCACAGGCGGACACGTTAGGTCTACCTGGGTTGTCCGGTTTATGTATCTTGGGAAGCATGTGAAGACCAGGCTTCCCCAGACAACTGTCTCGACAAATAGAGAGCTGCCCTGGGCGGGCAAAAGAACCTCCTGGATAAAGGTTTGGATGGTACTTTTCACTATTTTGTTGTTTTTTTACCGTAACATCATGTGTCTGGGGTTCATAGGAAGATGTGTCTGTTGTATTCAAGGAAATTAGAGAGCAGATGAGCTGGCAAAAGCTGGGAGTAATTTTCCACAGCCTCATCCACCACACAGGAAACCAAAACAGCGCTAAAGCAGTCTTTCAAGCGGGAATGGAGAAGGCAGAATGGAGATTACAGACCAGAGAACGACAGCATAAACAAACTCAACAGGAAAGCACAGACATCAATTTGTAGGCTTCGGACTGGACACTGTGGTCTTCGAGCACATCTGTACAAGATAAGCATAAAAGAATCTGCTGCCTGTGATTGTGGGACAGAAAGATAGACCCCCTGAGCACATACTGCAGGACTGTCCAAACTACTCTCAGCAAAGACTGAATCTGGCCCAAGGGAGCCACACTACCAGAGAAGCTGTGGGCGACCGGTGACGACCTCAGACGCACGACCTATTTGTGACCCAGACGGGACTAAATATTTAGCCTGGCTGATGTCGAACGTAGAAGAAGAAGAAGAAGAAGAAGAAGAAGAAGAAGAATCAGTCATGAAGGAGAATTAAA